CAAATGTGTATTTTCTTTAATCAGACCAGCTGCGGTTGACTCTGTCCTTGAAACTGGCTGACACTGGCATGCTAACAAACAGACCTGAGGGAGGGATGGCTTGCTATCTCCTCCCCCGTGTTTCAAGGAGAGTTCAACCCAGGCCTCAGCCTTTATACCTGGTTTCCCACATAATTTTACATATATTTTCTCTTGATTCTGTTTCTCTACAGAGCCCTAATGAATACAGTCCTCATCCACCTTATTCACCAGATCTCGCACTTGTGCAATTTCTGGCTCTTCCCAAAAGTCCATATGACTATAAAAGGTAAACATTTTTAATTGATTCAGGGTATTGGGGCAGCCATGACAGTGCAACTAAAGACATTCATGAAGGAAGACTTCCAGAACTGCTTCAGAAAGTGGCAAGAATGCTGGAATAAGTGTGTTCAAAGCAATGGGGAGTATTTGAGGGGGCAATTTGTCTTATTGTAATTTTTCAAAATTAAACATTCACTGTATTTTTTGATCATACTTCATAATTGTTCAACATAGTAGTATTCCATTATTTGAATATATGAAGTTATATTGTTGGTAGATACTGGGCCAGCTGTCATTTTTGGTGTTTATGAGCAATCCTGCTGCATTTTGTTACTTTAATTGTATCCTGCTGCAAATATGTGACAATTAAGCTTCATTGTCTACGTGATTGGCTAGGGAGCTGGCTAGGAGTTTAGTAACACACACTTGAGGGTGTGTCTGGGTGGGTTGAGGAGGTGTGGCCTTGGGTCTGAATCTGGACCCTAGCCCCCTTCCTTTCTGGTCTTTGTAACCTCTGCTTTCCTGCCACCATGAAGTGAGCAGTATTCATCCACCAACCCCTTGGACCATGATATTTCTGTCTTGGAGCCTCTGAAACCATGAGCCAAAGAAACATCTCCTCTAAGTTGTATGTGTCAGGTATTTTTGTCGCAGCAACGAAAAGCTAGCCAAACAGGGCCTGGAAGCTCCCTGAGAGTATAAGTCCACAATGAAAGGCCCTGAGTCTGATATCCACAAGTAATGCCAGTAGCAAAAGATGCACTTGGTTGAGGAGGATAGAGATTTTCAAATGAAACTAACTTCCTCCCTCTTTCATTCCATCCAGGCTACAAACTTTTTGGATGGTGGCACCCACAAGCAGGTCGTTCCCCCTCAGTTCACCAGCCTACATGCCAGTCAAACTCCCCCCAGACAAACCTGGAATCAGGCTTTACTAATCTAGTAGATGTTGCTTATTCCAGCCAAGTTGACAATCATGATTAATGGTCACAGCAGATATCTGAGAGGGAAAGTGCACGAGTACTTCCCTAATTCCTAACTGTTCTGAAGTGGTTCACCAGATTTTATTCCCGGAAGCAATATATGAGAGGCTTTCTATTGCTCCATAGACTGGCCCCTGCTCAGTATTGTTATCCTTATTTTTGCCCTCTGATGAGAGTACAGTGGTATCTCATTTCTTGTTTAGTTTGCATTTTCTAGATTGCTGTTGATAAGGAGCATCTTTTGATAAGTTTGCCTACTTAGGTTTCCTCTTTTTTGTGCCTGTTCAAGCCTTCTTGTCCTTTCCCCACTCCCATTATATCATCTGTGATTTTTTTTGGGTGGGGGGGATGGATAGTTCTTTAATCTGGATATGATTGGTGTTTTGTTTTGTTTTGTTTTGGTACCAGGGATCGTATTTGGGACCTTGCACTTTTGAGGCAGCCAGCAGAACCACTGAGCTAAATCCCTGGCCCAGTTGGTTTTTATTTTCATTCTTGTGGGTTATGTGTTGTACATCTCTGCCCCTTCTGTGATTTTCTTTCCACCCATTGGCATTTCTTTAAATTTAAAAGTTCATAATTTTACTGTCACTTTAAATCTTTTATTCTTAGTGCTTTCTGTGTTTTATATAAATATCCTAAGGTAATAAAAATATTTTCCTGTATTGCCTTCTGCCTTTCACTTTGAAGTTAATAATCACCATGAAGCAGAGAAGCCTAATTTCATTTTACTTTTTTATTTTTATTATTATACCTAATCATTCTAGCACCATGCATTTGGGGGTCAGGGGCTGTCTTGTACCCCTGGAGGGTCTGCAGTGTCACCTCTTTCAAAGTCGAGTGTTCATGTTCAGTTGAAGCTGTCTCTGAACTCTGTTTTATCCTTTGTCTGTCCCTTCCCAAGACCTCACGAGTTAATTACTGAACCCTTTTAATGAGCTTAAGATTAGGTAAGCAAGTCTTCTCACCTTTATTTTCATCTTTTAAATGTCCTGACTATTCTTAGTCTTTGCATTTTAGAATCAGTCTGTCAAGTTTCACAGAAAATCCTGTTGGGATTTTTATTAAGTATATATTAAATCTATGAACTGTTAGGATTAAAATCTTTTATGTCTTCTTAAGCATTTCTCAAGAGTGTTTTACAATTTTATTTATAGATGTCTTATATCTTACATACTTTTTGTTAATTTATTGCTAGATGTTTCATGAAACTATTGTTAATTTACTTTTTTTCCTTTCTTTTCCTTCCACTGACTGGGATCAGCTCAGGGCCTCATGTGTGTTAGCCAAGTGCTCCACTGCTGAGCTGTGCTGCCAGCCCTGCATCATTATTTTTGAGACAGGGTCTCACTATACAGTTCAGGCTGGCCTTCAACTCACTGTGTAGTCTGGACTGGCCTCAGACTCATGGTGATCCTTGTGCCTTAGCCTCCTGGGTGCTGGGATTACAGGTGTGAGGCACTATGCCCAGCTTCCTACATGTTTTTTTAAAGTATCATTTTCTAAGTGTTGTTTTCTTGTTTGATTGGAAAACATCCATATATAAAAATGTGTGTAGGAAGCTGGGTATGGTGGTCCACACTTATAATCCCAGCACTTTGGGAAGCTGAAGCAGTAAGATCACAAGTTCAAGTCCAGTCTGTGCAAATTAGTGATTTAGTGAGACCTCTTCTCAAAATTAAAAAAAAGACAAGGAGCTGGGGATGTAGCTCAGTGCAAGGGCCAGGTTCAATCCCTAGTACAACAGAAATAAAAAAGATAAATCTTGAGTGTTCGTTAAAACATTTCTGAAAATGATAAAAATGATGTATCCTCATAGTGGATAGCTAGTTTGGCTGAAAGAGAATTGTTTGAGATTATCATCCCATGGGCTCTTACTATTCTATTCATCGCAAATTTGAGGTCTTACCAATTTGATTCTAGTTTCTTGCTAACTATTCTGTTCTCTCTGAAAGTCTTTACATTTTTCTCTTATTTCTTGGTGTTTTGAAACTAACTATAGCTTGTAACAAATTTTGAATATAATATCTTAAATATCTGTAAGTTTGTTTTAAACTTTGAGTTTTGTGAATCATATGTTCTGCTTCTGGAAAAATTTCCGTCTATCCTACTTTTGTTTTAGTCTCAGGTCAGCAGTCATTTTCTGTAGAATAAGACAGCAAATACTTCAGGTTTTTAAATCCATGAAGCAAAATTGAGGCTAATATGTGGGTACTTATATGATGAAAGATGTTTTAAAAACATACTGACAATTTCACATTAACCAGGCACAGTAGTACACACCTATAATGCCAGCACTTGAGAGGCTGAGGCAGTTTTCAAGCCTGTACAATTTGATGACTTCATGAGACCCTGTCTCAAAATAAAAAAATTAAAGGGCTGGGAATGTAGCTCAGCATAGAGGGCCTTAGTTTAACCCGGTACCATTAAAAAAAAAAAAGCAAAACAACAACAATGAAAAAAAATAGTAATAACTTTTTGTAATTCAGGTCTGCTAACAAGAATAATAAGATTCTGTGGGATAATTATTGCTTAATTGGGGTTCAAAGTTACTGTTCCCTGTCACCAAAATTGATTGATAATATTTACCTGTTATAATGACGTAATTAAATTTTATTTCAACTCCCTGCCAAATGCTGATATGAGTTCACCAGCATATGGTTTTAATTAAGCATATTCATTGCCTGCAGAACTTTATGGAACTGTATTAGAGTCCTCTCTTGATTTGTCTTAGTAGAAGCTCCTCAATAGTACAGTTAAGTGGATTTTGAAATGGCAGCTTCCTTTGAACTTGCATTTAAGTCGGGAAAAACACTGTTGGGACTACAGTTTGAGTGTGGGAAATACATCTGCTGCAAATTTGTGTAGTAATGGAGATGTTGCTCCTGTTTTAACTTGGAGTAACACGACAACACTGGGCAGCATTAGTAACACCCTTCAGCTTATCAAGAACCAGGGAAAAACATTGAAATTCTTTGTCTTTTTAAAAAATTATCTGTTCCCCAGCATGGTGATGGACACCTGTAACCCCAGCAACTGGGGAAGGTAAGGAGAATTGCAAGTTTGAGGCCTGGGCAACTCAGCAAGACCCTGACTCAAAATTTAAGAAGTGCTGAGGATGTAGCTCAGTGGTGGAGCACTTGTCTAGCATCCAAGAGACCCTGGGTTCAATCCCAGTACCCCTTTAAAAAAAAAAAAAAATCTGTTCAAGTTTTTCCTAATTTCTTCATGTTTTTCATGAAGCCATTTGTCTTAAACATCTTAATTTTCTCTGAACACATTTATTCCACTACTGCAATTAAATACTATTTAATTAACTATCAGAGGCCCCCACAGTGGGTTCTGATCTCTTGCTCAGTGCTACAACACAAGGTATCATTTCAAAGAAAGAAATACAGTGTGAAAACTGTAGTCCTGTAATTACCTCTTGTCAATTAAGATTTGAGGGTGTAGACTTTTAATTCAGTAAAATGTGTACAGTTTACAAATTCAGGATCTTCTCTCAAGTTATCCTTAACCATGAGTATGTCATACTGGTCTGTTTGGTGTTAATTCTGGAAATTTTCAAATATATAAGAATGGAGAGAATAGTATATGAAACTCATGGGCCCATCACCCAACTTCAACAGTGATCAATTCATGGCCAATCTTGTTTCTTCTAAAAACCAGGCTGTCTTGAATCTAAGTTTTTTAAATCAGAATTTAATTTTTACTTAGGTTAGACACTTTGGAAACTCTACAACAACACCAAAGAGTTTGCCATATAGAAAATCAAGAAGTAAAGACTATGAGTCATATAGTGATAATGATACGTGCAGTCAGGAACCAGAAAATAATTTTGAGAAAGAACTTCAAAAGTACATACGAGCTAAAGAAATGGCAAATGCTGCTCAGCCCCTGCCATCTTCTAAAGAATCTGTGACGAAAGAGGGAGTAAAAGATACCAAACTGTGTAAGTACCAACCTGTTTTATCATATACAGTGTATTTGGAGAAGCAGTCACAGTTTTAACTCCTATACTTCATCTTCTGATAAGAACATGATTTTCATGATCTTTACACCAGACATGAGCTTGCAGGGGCTGAGACCCCAATGAGACCTGCTCAGTGTTTGTAGGAAGAGCCAGGGGTGTAGGTAGATTATCAAGAGCCCTGACTCCCATCTAGAGAGAATGCTGAATCCATGGCCTCTCCATGAATGAGGGATAGGGTATGTCTGTTTGTCCTGCTGTCATGTAAAGAATTCCCTGGAATGTTTGTATGTCAAACTGTAACTTAGAAATATATTTTAGATCAGTAAAGTGAGATTTAGCCATAGATAGGCCAAATGACAATTGTAAATGAAATGAAATTCTTGTGTGTGTGTGTGTGTGTGTGTGTGTGTGTGTATGTGTGTGGTTCTGGGGACTGAACCCAGGCATGCTATACCACTGAGGTACACCTCTACCCTTTTTAAAATTATGAGACACAATTTTACTAAGTTGCCCGATATAGCCTTGAACCTGGGATCCTGCTGCCTCAGCCGTTTATGGCTGGGATTTCAGGTGTACGCAACCGTGCCCAGCAGAAAATAAAATTCATAATGCTTTTACTGGTTTTTTTTTTTCCCCTCTCAAGAATTTCTTCTATTCATAATATATCTGTAGATAAACTTAATCTGTACCAAATATTTTAATTGAAAGGTTTGACCATAATATCATTTTAAACAATTAGGGGGTTTTCTTTTGTAAAGCTGTGGTGATTCCTAATTGGATCCATCATGCCCTAAACACTTAAAAGAGAATCTAGCTTGTAGCTTACAGGATTGATTTTATTCTCTTCCCTTTTTTTTTCCCCCTAACAATATCTTATATATTTTCAAAAACAGTGAATTGGTAATTTAGGATATGTAATAATTTTCTTTGGTCTCTTAAGGGCTTCTAGAAAAACAATTCAGTTACTAGTTTTTCCTCACTGGGCTATAGTACTTCTTAAGAAGGAGCTGATATTATGCTTTTATGTCATTTTAAAAATTCACTTTCTTATTTCTAGCTGCTAAACCAAAAAATAAAAATCTTAAACCTGGTCACAAGAATGGAAAACAAAAGAAAATGAAACAAAAACGGCCTGGCACTGGGAACGAAGGGCCAGATGCCTTATTGCAGAAGAGCAGTCGACAGGAAGAGGTATGGAGTCTACAGGAAGAGGTATGGGAACCTGGGCTTGTAGGCACTCAGGACAAGGCAGTAAATGCCTCTTCTGGACCTGCTTTTCTGCGGGTTTTTAACTGGATGGCAAGCTTTTTATTAGGCTTGATGAGAGGGGACAAGACTAGATGGGGTCAAAGAAATACAGATATTATAGACTGAAACACACAAAATCTGCCCCTATGTCCACATTTTACAAATGAAGAATCCAAAGCTTTGGGGTTCAGGTAATGGCCTCCAGTTACAGGGGACCAGGTAGGTGTGAAGTTTGATTCCTAGACCCTGGTGATTTTCCCTTTTGTTTGGTGGACATCGACTCAGATGACTATTCAACCAAAGCTAATGACTCTGTGATGTGAAGAACAAATTCTGGGGCCGGGGATTTAGCTCAGTGGTTTCGCCACCTGCTGCGCAAGCGCAAGGACCCAAGTTTGATCCCCGGTACAAAAAAAAAAAAAA